ATATATTACTGTTGTTAAGCCTAACAGAGCTGGCCTTTTTTAAAACCCCAGAAGAAGTTCAAAAGAGCAAAGATAAAAGTAAAGCAAAGGAAAGATAGTAATACCAAACAATTCTATTCATTTTATTCTTGCTACAAATGAAAAAAAGGCACATTATCCCAGATTTATTGAGTCATGGGGACAGTTGCACAGTTGAATAGACTGATTGTAAAAACATTTTGATGGTACCATTTTCCGAAAGAAAGCCTAATGTTTAATCTCCTTTTATACCATCAGTGAATGATACCACAGAAAGAATTACTGGTGATGAATGTTTTAATGGAAAGCTCTGAACTATCCAGCAGTTCTGTTGTATACAATTTAAGCTGCATATTTGTTTCCTAAAACTCATTATTTAAGCGCACAAGGGCTTATCCTACTCTATTCTCTTTCCTTTTGTGTTGTGTTTTTCTTCCATTTGAGTGCTTTAACAGGCCATTATAATGGACGCAAAATCATTTTCTGGTTTAATACTAAAAAAAGGGTCTTCCTGACACCCACACACCATTCATCTGTGGCTGAACTCTTCCATCTGCCATCAACATCTGGTCATATTTTACATGTTGTCATTATGAGAACCAGTAATGTGCTTTAATCGGGGGGAAAGCACTTTTCATAGGGTAGTTTTGTTCAGTCAAGGAAAAGCTTAAGTGCAGCTGGGGAAAATAAAGCTATTTGTGCTGACAATGAAACTCATTTGTTACAGAATGATCTCTATCTGTCAGCTTTCCTTATCATCCAGGTTTGTTTGACCAGGCACACACTGCTACTTTTAGCCCAGACGCTGAGCATTGTCAACAACACACTCAGTCACCTGTACTGATTCATGTGAGTCGCAGTGAAATGGGAACCATTTTTCTTATTTCAGCTGCAGCCTAGTTGTAGACTTCGACAGCACTGTTAACAGGCRTAAACAGCATGACTCTCGCTGTGTTTCAATTCACTTAGAAATGTTGGACCTGCATGGAGAATAATAATTACACCTCTCCAGTTCTATTGTTTTGTTTAGACAGAAAATTGTGTGAATATAAAAAAAATAAATAATAACAGAAGCATGTGAAATTTTTTAAACATTGATTTTAGAGCGACTGTATTTAACAACACAAAATGCTTTTATATTGTGAAAATATTTAGTGGAATCAAACTGTTACCTGGACATAATTATTGCTACCCTTAGTTCAAAGAATATTTCTGTACGAAGAACATTTTCTAAAAGCTTCTTGCATCGTCCTGCTTCTAATTTGAGTTTTACATCCAAACTCAGGGAATTTTTTCTGACACTGGGTCCTTCAGCTTGTCTCCTTATTGTGTTAACACATACTTCTTTTTCTTTTTTTGGCTGTTCTTACTTTAGGGTTACCACAGCCAGTCATCCTCCTCCATCTCACTCTGTCCCTTGCATCCTCTGTCCTCTCTCCAACTACCTCCATGTCCTCTCTAACTTTATCCATAGATTAGTCTCTTTCCTGGCAGCTGCGTCTCTAACATCCTTTTACCAACATTCCCACTGTCCCTCCACTACAAATGTCCAAACCGTCTCAGTCTGGACTCTTCTAACTTTATCTTCCAGTCGTTCAACCTGTGCCGTACCTCTGATGAGCTCATTCCTAAACTTATCCATCCTTGTYACTCCCATAACAAAACTCAACATCTTCAGCTCTGCTACTTCCTGTTCTGTCTCCTGTCTTTTTGTCACTGTCACCGTCTCCAACCCATGAGTGATACATTTTCCAAATGTTTTCCAAAGCCTGTAACACAGTATTTTCTTAAAACAAGCATTACTATCCACCTGCATTATTTTTTGTCTKTTGTATATTTGTTAACATTTTAAACAACTTATGCTGACGTGAAAGTTTTATTTTTAACGCTCTGGTATACAGTGACAATGGGAGGAAAAAAAATCCACTGGAAGCGTTTTTGGACATATACTGCGATGGTAATAAATCAAACAACATCTAACCTGTGTTGATGATGAAACCTCCACCATGTTCTTTTATCCCCTAAAGTTCTACGTTTTTCCTCCATCTGCAGAAGAGACTACAGTATGGCTTGGCTTGTAATGAATGTTTTTTTGAACTTTACTCAAGCTCTTCAGAACMCTTTATTCCCCCCTGTAACGGTCCTCCCCCCTCATTCTGCAGTCATGAAGGCCCACTAGTGTCAGAGTGTAGTGTTGGGTATGGGCTGCATGCACTTCAGATTGCTCCAGCTCTGTCTGAAGATTAGATCAGTGCAGACTCACACTGTGCTGCTGCTTCACACCTCATCCTGGTAGCAATATGYGCTGAAGATGTGATCGTATGAGAGCAGCCTCGTAGGGTTTTTTTTTTTTTTCATTTGATGATTGCATTTCTTATGTCTTCAGAAAAAAATCATTTTATGAACAAATCAGTTAGTGGGTTTACYAACAGATAAGGCCACGTTAACTAGATGTTTTGAAAGTGATTATATCAAAACTTCCATTGCTTTTGATTAGATTTTATTTTAAATTAAAGGGGCAATATTATGTGTTTCTCAGGCATACAATTAAATAATATACCATAATAAAGTATCTATGTTACCTTTAGTTG